AAATATTATAATTAATTATTTAAAAAATTATTCATAAATAAAATTATAATTAAATTAATAATCTTAGCAAAATGTGGAGGCAAAAACAAGCCCAGCCGCCCACAAATTTAACAGTGCTGTTTTTTCTTGTCAAGCAAGGTCTGCAAATGTCATGGTCAAACCATCGGCAGATAGAAAATTCAGTTGGCTTTACTTGCACAAAAAGGAATGGGGATTTTTACGTTGTTTGACTATTTCTTTTGACCTGCAATCATCGCCCAAGACTATAAAACGCCGCCGTGCTGGTGGGCATCGGCCCGGTTTGGTTTTAATTAAAATTAAAATTAAATTATTAATTAATTAAAATTTTAAGTTTTAAATTTTAATAATTATTAATTAAATAAAAAACTAAGTTTTATTAGTTTCAATTGTACTTTTAAGAATAAATATTTAGATTGATTTTAATTTTAATTAAAAAATATTTTTATATTTTTAATGATTTTTTAAAATTATTTAATTATCTTTTTATTAATTTCCATCATTAAAAAAACTAACAACTACTTAAATAAATAAATAGTTTCGTAAAAAGTTGTTAGAAAACCTTTAAAAAATTCTAGATATCATTAAAAAATTTATATAAAAAGTTTTTAGGTGGATTTTTCTATTATACTAACCTTAGTTATTAATTTTTTAATCTTTAGATTTAACAATCAAAACTTAAACCGTTTTAAATTAATTTGGTTTGTTTTGGTCAAATAAACTTACACTCAATCAAACCCTACCTGTTGGTTACGATTTCGTTGGCTTTTACATTTTTTATGATTATGGATTATTTGGCCCACCCCTACGTGCTGTGTGTATGTACGAATGGGTAAAGTTTGGTCAACTAATTAATAATTAAGAAACTGACTAACAGTGGATGGATTTTTAACCAAATTTTTGGATTTTGATTTATTTTAAGTGGTTTGGTTTATAAACCAAAAGATATTTGGTTGGATTTTGGTTTATATATATCTAAAAATTAAAAACCAACAATAGGCTTTATGACCAAAAAAACCAAACTAAAATGTTTTTTTTTTAGCCAAATTTTTCCTTAAAGGAGGACTTTTGAGCCGGATCATTTTTCTTGAGGGTAAAAAAAAAAAAAAAGTAGTGTAAACCGAAACTGAAAAAACAACCAAAAAAAAGTTAACCAAACTAAAATAACCAACATTAATTTGGTTCAGTAATTGGTTCTCACTTTTCCTCAACCAAAAAATTAGTTAACCACCTATATTGGTTGATTTAGTCACCGAGCAGACCTATATCCGCCCCTATGTATATGGCCAAAGTTTGGTCAGAATATGCTATCGTTCAAATCGGACGGTCGTATTTTCTTTACCAAAAACTTCTTGCACCGCACGAAAGCAGCAGTCCATTTTAGCGTAAGCATCTGACTATGAGTCATATTATAATAGCTATTCTTCCTTAATCTCATTCCAAACACGTGTTTATTTATTTTATAATATATATACTGATTTTTGATCTAACTAGTTTAAAAAAAACTTGTAAATCACTTCATTCATAAATATTTGATAAAATTTTACCTTTAAAAGTTACAGGCATTACACATTAAAATTATATACATTAAAATTATATATATTTAAATAGCATTGTAAAGATTCAAGCATATATTCTCAACATATTTGAAGAACTCCTTAATTTATGTTTATTTATTCTTAATACCACGAAATCTTCAAAATAGAAATTCAAGCATAATTTGAGTCATTTTGAGCTAATGTTTCCTGTCAGCTAAATTACAAAATATATGAAATTAATATAAAACTTGAACATGAAACTTTAAGATCTCAATACTGCTATAAATTCAATGATATGTAAAATTATAAATTTATAATTTGAATATATATAATATTATGAGTGAATCACTAAATAAAAAAAAATCAACTATATAACAATATATCATGTTATAAATTTAAAAAGTGATTTGTATATATTCAGTTTAACGCACTTTCTTACACTTGTTTCAATTCGATTATTAAAATATAATATAGATATAATAGCTTCAATTAGTTTCTACACCTTTTATGTATAATTGCATCGTTAAATTTATTTAATTTTAATTTTAAATTAAAAAATAATAATTTTTTAATGAGTATATTGTATAATATATTAAACTTAAATGTATACAAATTATTATCCTATAAATTTATAATGTCTCATGAAATTGCAATTATATTATTTTTGTTAAAATTTCTAGACCTCTACCATAAGGCCAAAGTTCCATTAACCTAGTTTTAGTTTGAATTACTTTTAATTTTATTCAGTAAAGAATATTGATTAGTACATCTTTTGATTCAACACATTATATAACATATTTATTAAAAAATTATTATTTTTTAATCTAAAATTAAAGATAGACAAACTTAAAGATGTAACTTTACATATAACATATACAAACCAATTGAATTGAATATACTTATATTATATTTTAATAACTAAATCAGACAAGTGTCAAGATATGTGTTGAATCGAAGGGTATATCAATAATTTTTCTTTAGTAAATTGATTTGAATGTTGTTCTCAATATGGTATAATGATTTAACATTTATTAATATATCTAATAATAGATTATATAATAAAAGATAACTATCACATTCATAAAC